TTTACAACAAACAAAAATCATGTGACCATAAAATTTTTATTGCATTTTTGATTGGGAATTTTTCCCAAAATTGGCGGCGTGGCGCAGAAAGTTGTGGGACTAAGTGACTTGCACTATAGAAAAATGTACAATTAGCTCACAAAGATTTATTGAATTTTGGCCCCAAAAAATTTATAATGACAAAAAAGGAAATGATAATCTTACAAAATTTTTTTTTTTAAATTTCCATTTCATTTGAATTAGGATTTGAAAAATGAACATCTTTATGAGGTTCCTATACAAATTTTCTAATTTTTTTATATAAATATAATTTTTTCTAAATCTATATTAATTGGAATAATATTAATGTGATCATTATGATTAAAGTTATTATTTTTTAAAAGATTAAAAGATTCTTCTTCACCATCAGATTTCATTGAAACAAAAACCTTTCCTTTGTTTTCAGGCAGGTTGTTAAATCTAAAATGATGATGATGATGTTGATGTTGATGTTGTTGATGTTGTTGTTGTTGTTGTTGTTGTTGTTGTTGTTGATGTTGATGAAAAAGATGATGATGATTCTTGACATTTTGGAGTGGCTATATTCTCTTCAATATCAATTATTTTAATTGGTTTATCATTTTTCTCTAATGAAGCTTTAAAAAATGTTGTAAGAGTAGGTTGATTCGGAATTGTTGAATTTGTTTTTTTAGCAATACAATTTAGTGACTTTATTGAAGTTTTTTTCAGCATGGAAGTTGGTTTAGAGGGAAATTCTTGTGAAATTTTTTCTTTTTCAAAAAGAATGGTTTCAACAGAACTACTAACATTAGAATTATCAATTATCTTAACATTTGCAATCTCATCGTTATTCATATTTGATTTATTAAAAAAGCTTTGTAATTTAGTCTGATTAAAGAATTTGGACAGATATTTGGCACAAAGTTTTGGTGCCTCTAGCTTGTTTTGTGTAATGTATGAGTTAGAACTAATCAAATCAGAAAGCCTAATTTTTTTACCATTCTCCTCAATTTCATCATAGAGTTCGCAAGAAACTGGACAATGATCAGAGCCCATTATTTGTTGTTTAACATCACATGATTTCATCCATTTTACCATTCCTTTACTAACAAGTATATAATCCAATCGTGTACCTATTGGGATAATAAGAAATTAATTTTATATCTTATAGTAAATACAATAAAAAGCCTATTCTTGATAGTATAATTTACCATAATTTGCAGGTCTTATTATATATTAAAATTATGTATTTTATAAAAAGTTGATAAGATTGAAATAATATAAAATTTAATAACATAACATTATAATATATATATTCATAAAATTAAACTTACCTAGCATTTATAAGAGTATTCCAACCTGGAAATATACATTTGATATTTTTGAAAGCACAACTTTTGGCAATGGAAATAGAAAATAAAAATTTTAAAGAGTCTTCTGAAAAAATTCCTCAAAGAATAAATTATCAATTTTGTTTTAATTCAACATATTCTCTTTGCAAACCAATATTTTTAATGTTATACAATATAAGTGATCATAAATTTGAAAATATTGTAAAACATTTACACAATGAAGGAATAAGTGAATGAATTCATGGAAACACAGGAAGAGCTCCTATATATAAAACTAAAGTCAATATTGATGAAAATTTAAAATTCATTGTAAGAAATTTTCTAAATCAATATTCTTTAATACATGGGTTACCTTCACCAATGAGACATAGAAATGATTCTGGAGCATTTATTTATCTTCCTACTGATAAAAGATTTATATCTGTGTATAAAGAATTTAAAGAATTTTATTTAGAAAATATTTTGAAAGTTGAATCTGAAAATGATTTAAAAGAGGAAAAAATTATTTCTTACAATTCTTTTAGAAGATTATGGAATGAACTAATGCCTAATTTAAAATTTCAGCCTCTTGCAAGTGATTTGTGTGATAATTGTGTTCAATTTAAATCAAAATTGCAATTAGCAAAAAGAAATATTGATGAATATAATAATGTTGAAGCTGAATTTAATGAACATAAAAAAATGGCAAACCTTGAATGTGATCATTATAATAATAATATTGAATTAAGTAAAAATGATTTATCAATTGCACATATTTGTTATGATTGGGCACAAAATGTCACCATTCCTTATTCACCTCAACAAGCAGGACCATTATATTTTTTATCAGGTTATGCTGTTCATTTATTTGGAGTTTGTAAAACTGAAGGAGGAATAAATAAACAATTGAATTTTTTAATAGGAGAAGATGAGCTTCCTCAAGGCACATCTAAAGGAGCAAATACTACTTTGAATTTAGTTTATCAAGCTCTGCAAATATTTGCAAAGAATGGTAAAAAAAAATTGCATATAACTTGTGATAATTGCTCTGGACAAAATAAAAATAACTTATCTCTTTGGTTTTGGACTTGGATAATAATGCTGGGTTGGTATGAAGAAATTACAGTTAATTTTATGATTCCAGGACATACAAAATTTATATGTGATTCTTTTTTTGGTCATATAAAAAAATTATATAGAAAAAGTAAGATTAATCAGATTAATGATATTGAAGAGATTGTTAAAGATTCTTCAGAAGGAAATGAATCAATACAATATAAAAATGGTTTAGGGTGGAAATGGTACAATTTTGGAGAATTATTTGAAAAAAAATTTAAAACTTTACCTAATATAAAGCAATATCATCATTTTAGATTTAACAACCTGCCTGAAAACAAAGGAAAAGTTTTTGTTTCAATGAAATCTGGTGGTGAAGAAGAATCTTTTAATCTTTTAAAAAATAATAACTTTAATCATAATGATCCCATTAATATTATTCCAATTAATATAGATTTAGAAAAAAAATTATATTTATATAAAAAAATTAGAAAATTTGTAGAGGAACCTCATAAAGATGTTCATTTTTCAAATCCTAATTCAAATGAAATGGAAATTTAAAAAAAAAATTTTGTAAGATTATCATTTCCTTTTTTGTCATTATAAATTTTTTGGGGCCAAAATTCAATAAATCTTTGTGAGCTAATTGTACACTTTTCTATTAATTGAATGTTGACAAAAATTATACCAAATTATAATCATCACTTCAAAGAATATAATGGTGTCAATAACTCATTTTGGGGTTTTTGAGCCCGAAGCACCTTTTTGCTAGGATGGAACCCATATGTCAGTGCCCTAAGTCAGCAAGTAGGCTGTGTGTCACATAAAGGAATTGACAGTAAGTCAGTGAGTAAGCTGTGTGTCATATAAAGGAACTATCCAGGCAAGTAGGCCATAAGATAGTGGAATCAACTGTAAGTTAGTGAGTAGGCTGTGTGTTGAACATAAAATAACCTATCAAATAGGAAACTCATATTGCATGCTTGCAGTACATATGTGGTATCAACTCAAAATTATGATATTTGACATTGACCCCTTTCCCATTGTCCATGCTCCATATATGGGCATATAATTTGTTTAGGGTTGTCTAAAGCCAAAATAACATTTAGATAGAATGTCCGAACAGTAAAGATTTGCTTTAAAGATCATGTGGATATACACAAAACCATGGTCTCAATTGCCTAAATGTCTAAAGTAATTTATATTTTAGACATCCTAATTTAAATTATCTAATACTAAATATTTGGATGCCCATAATGGGGCATAGTTTTTGTAAATGAAAATTACTAAAAGAAAATAGTGAACAATTTTTTTAATTTTATTATTTTTTATTTGATTTCAAGATGATAATGGTAGGTGTCAATCCTTTAACTATTCCCAGAACTTTAACATGCCTGCCAATCACATGGTACTTGAACATCCTACTTGTTTACATAGTGAACTTAATCAGTGGTTAAGCCTTCATCTAAACCATAAAGTTCCACCCATACTTTTGATTTTATAGTTTTCCTAATTGTGCTGAATTAGCTGATAAAGCTGAAGCATTACAAGTAACTTTAAATAGTTTATTTTCTGATAATTTGGTAAGATTTGTTATTAATAATAAAATTTAATTGTTCATCCTTTTTTTTATAATTCTCATAAATGATTTTATTTTTTTAAATAAGGTTTTTATTTATCATTAGAAAGAGGAAGATGCAAGACAGGCTTGAAAAGAAGCTAAAGAAGCAGTACTTGCTAAACAATTATTAAGTGACATTCAAGTCAGTTTTTATGGAAAGATATAAAAAATTTTAACCAAAGATAATGAGTAAACTTTACTCAGAAAGGAATGTTAATTTGTTTGTTTCTTGATTATTTTGTTGCTTTTTCTATCATCTTGTCTGAGTTTTAATCTTTTTGTTGGCAAAGATGAATTTCTTGCCCATTCAAAATAATCACATTGATTTTCTGGTGATGATCCAACCAGTCTCAAAAACAATTTTAATTTAAAAATATGCTTGTAAGTTAAAGTTTTTTGTTTATAAAATAAAGAAATAAATAAAACCAACACATCCATTTAACATACCTTGAACATGAAAAGAAATATCGTCCTTCATTTGGTCCATTTTTGTTAACTCTATATTTTTTACATGGTTCTCCATGCACCTTACATTTAGGAATTGCTTTGGGCATAAATATCATATTCCATTGAGACATTATATCAGATTTATGTTCAGAATTTTTATCATCTTCTATGCATTCTTCAGAACTATTCTCTTTTATAATTTTTTTGATCTCTTCATCCATTGAGTTTTTCAGCAACTCTTCATTCTGGAACAACAAAAATGATGATGATGATGATGATGATGATGTTGATGTTGATGTTGTTGATGTTGTTGTTGTTGTTGTTGTTGTTGTTGTTGTTGATGTTGATGAAAAAGATGATGATGATTCTTGACATTTTGGAGTGGCTATATTCTCTTCAATATCAATTATTTTAATTGGTTTATCATTTTTCTCTAATGAAGCTTTAAAAAATGTTGTAAGAGTAGGTTGATTCGGAATTGTTGAATTTGTTTTTTTAGCAATACAATTTAGTGACTTTATTGAAGTTTTTTTCAGCATGGAAGTTGGTTTAGAGGGAAATTCTTGTGAAATTTTTTCTTTTTCAAAAAGAATGGTTTCAACAGAACTACTAACATTAGAATTATCAATTATCTTAACATTTGCAATCTCATCGTTATTCATATTTGATTTATTAAAAAAGCTTTGTAATTTAGTCTGATTAAAGAATTTGGACAGATATTTGGCACAAAGTTTTGGTGCCTCTAGCTTGTTTTGTGTAATGTATGAGTTAGAACTAATCAAATCAGAAAGCCTAATTTTTTTACCATTCTCCTCAATTTCATCATAGAGTTCGCAAGAAACTGGACAATGATCAGAGCCCATTATTTGTTGTTTAACATCACATGATTTCATCCATTTTACCATTCCTTTACTAACAAGTATATAATCCAATCGTGTACCTATTGGGATAATAAGAAATTAATTTTATATCTTATAGTAAATACAATAAAAAGCCTATTCTTGATAGTATAATTTACCATAATTTGCAGGTCTTATTATATATTAAAATTATGTATTTTATAAAAAGTTGATAAGATTGAAATAATATAAAATTTAATAACATAACATTATAATATATATATTCATAAAATTAAACTTACCTAGCATTTATAAGAGTATTCCAACCTGGAAATATACATTTGATCAATTTAATATTATGTCCATTTTGCAGGGGAGGGGTAAATATATTTTTGACATAAAAAACTTACATGTGTACATTCCTTCCTCATTTGGATGAAATATTCTGAATAAATCGATCATTGGACCATTTGGTGCTAAAAAGCCATCAAACCATTTTCTTGCAGGATGGTCTTCAAAAGAATCCATTTTTTGATCTTTAATTGCTTTCTGTGGATCACAATGATCGATTTTTTGATGTGTAATATTAATATCACCAATAATTATCACTTGTCTACCATCATTTAATAAAGCTTCCACACGATTTTGTAAAACTTTAAAGAATTTCATTTTGAATGTAAGTCTATCTGAATTTGATTCATGTGGACAATAGACATTAAAAAGTACAAAAAACTTAAAGTCTAATAAAACACATCGTCCTTCTGAATCAATTTCCAACAGTTCTTTTGCACCATATTTGTTTGTGGTCGTAGATTCAATCCGTTTATCCATATTACTTTTAGAAATTTGATTTTTAGTGTTTGATGTCTCATAAAATTCATTAAGAATTCCTGAAATCCCTTCCTCAGCAGCAATTGGACTTATTTTGTTAGTTTTAACATAAGTAACCACACCTGAACGTGCTGTTTTGTCTTTTGTAAAAGAAAAATAAGCATCATAACCAGGAATTATAGCCATCGTTGCTTCCAATTTGTCCAAAGTAATTTTTGTTTCTTGAAAGCATATTATATCCGCTTCAAGTGTATCTAATAAAATCTTCTCACATATTACAAATTAGACCTATTTGACAGCCATAGGTTTAATAATATACTTCTCAAATCAATAAATATAAAACTAACCTGATAACTTTTATCCTTATACCAACTTTTTTTAAAAATATACTAAATTTTTTTAGTTATAGTAGCAATAACACACAAAATAAATTTGCAAGTTAGTTACTTACGGGTGATATTGAATTACAGCTCTCAAACCATTCACATTCCAGGTGAGTAATCGCATACTAACAATTTCCGATATTATAATAAAAAACAATAGCGTAGTGGGACATTTGATTTCACCGACTAAATTTTGTGATTATCACCCTTCCAGATATCACGCAATAATTAAAATTTTATTGGCTTGAAGATCGTTACGCAAAACAAAAATGGAAGGAAATTTAGTTCGAATGGAATCACTTAATATAAGTTAATTGAAGTAATACGAGTTAATAACTTAAGGATATTTTTATAATAACATTCTCTAATTAATCAAAATGTATAAGTGATCTACTTTCAAAACAATTCTTTTGAATAAAAGAAAACACTCAAATCAATACTCAAAACTATTTGTCAGTAAGATTCCCTATTCAATCTGATCCACATACAGTCAAACCTCTTTATAACGGTCCTCTTTATAGCGGATTTTCGTTATACCGAACAAATTTTTGTTGCTGTTTTTTTTACTAAATAAAAAAATCCGTTATAACGAACTATATAATAACAACAACAACAATAATAAAACTTCGTAATTCCGTATAACGAACATTTGGTGAAATTTTTTTATGTATTAGTAATTAATTACGATAATTACGTATTACGTACTTACGGTAATTAGGCAATTACCATCCCATGTATAATAAAAACACTTTTGTAGTCAGAAATTAAACAGTATGTTAAATTGTTCATTTGGTTGTTGGTATAGAACTGAGGTTTTGTTTATTTTGCTTTGGTATAAAGCAAAAGTTTTGACATTGGTTAACCGGTGTAGTGTTAACAACAGTTTGCATTAATTTCGTAATTACGATATTCTAATATTTGAAAGATCCGAATCATCATCAATATTTTGTGTAGAAAAGTTTGATTAAATAGGTCCTGTATTGGTGTCATAGAATTCGCATCAATTTACATCACTACTTTGGTTTTAAGCAGGGACTTCAATTAAGAAGTCAGGTTAATTGTTTTGAAAAAAAAAATTTATTTGCTAGTTGTACTATTTCCCAACCTGATTTTTAAAACTGATCACATGACTATAAAAATTCTCTTTTTTTCATAATAGTTACCATTATCTTTATCATTACTATTACTATGACTTCCTTACAAGCATATGGGCTATTAACTATTAGCTTTATAATAAGTTTTTCGCTTACTTTAATTTCCTTAACATCGATAACATGGTAAAGTAAATTTTATAATCTTGGCATGTGTTGCATAATGTTTAATTAATATAGAATAATGGTTTTTTTTAATTATTATTTTTATTGTTTTATTTTTATTGTCTAAAGGATAACATATGAAAGCGCAAGACCAAATCGGTCAGTTACAAATTATGGTTTATATAGGGTAATTATTAATTAAACAACATGAATTATATATAATAAACATTAACAAGAAAAATAAAATTTTAAATTTAAAATATAGAAATGTTCAAATTTTTTAACTGACGGATGTCGTGCTTTTCCAGATGAAGCATACGGTGATTGTGATGAAGAAGGATTCTGTGAAGAATGGATGGCAGCAAGAACTGATATAGTCTTGGCTACTATTTTAGATGGAGTTATATTTTTGCTTTTACTGGCATTTTTTATTGGTGGAAATAGTCTAAGGAAAGATCATTGGAAGTTGATTACTGGATTAATTATTCTTGATTGTAATTATAATATTTCTCACCAACTCTCTTTACCAATATTTTTATAATATATATATATATTAATAACATGTGTGTATGTGGATATCTACAGGTTTCCTTCAATTTTCAGTTGTGGCATTGATATTTCATGCATATAAAAATTCAGAAAAATTTATTTATGGATATAGACTTGACACAAGTTTTTATCTTGCCTCATTAGCAGCAGTATTAAATTTAACAAATGGAGTTGGATTTATTGTTTATTCAGTCTTCCTTCAACCAAAAGAAGAACAACTATCAAATGACGCTAATAATGATAATGGATATGAACCAATTAATCAATCAGATGAGGATGACATTGAATTTAACCGACCTGTTCCTGTTGACTTGGAAAATAATAATGAGAATATTAATAATTAATTTTTTATAAGAGCAATTATTGATGGTAGGAAAAAATGGTTCTAAAAATAAATGATTATTGGAACATTCATTTCATAAAATAAATTTTGTAGTTTATCATAATCATTATTAGTCATTTATATTATAATTTAAATATATATATTTTTTTAAATAAAATAGTTTGTAGTAATGTTGCACATACCAATGTGTTCTTTGACAATTGTCTCATATATATACTATGTAATCAAACTTTGTTCTATGTCTTTAACAAGTAAAATTTGTTGTGCTAAATCGGAATCACCCAATAATTGATTGTGACCATATTGCTGCTGCTGCACCAGCCAGAGTTTCTAGCCACAAAAATATGTTCTTTATAGTTCAGACAGCATTAACATCACAGTTCCAGGGTCCGGCACATACATGTCCAGAGCACCTACAACTGTTGAGGTTTACTAAATAACCCTTCACATTCAAAACATATTCTGCTAGTTCTAAATTCTAAATTCATCAATAATTTTTACTCTGCATCATTTCCTTAACTCCCATATCAGCTGGACCAGCAGCATGTCCTTTAGAACTTTTTATTTTGTTTTTTATTTTATTTTTTTTACATATATTTTTTTTATTATTTTTTTTTTACATTATTTTATTATTTTTATTTTTTTACATATATTTTATTTACATATATTTTTTTTTTATTTACATTTTTTTTTTTTACTTATTTTATTTATTACATATATATAAGAAAGGTTCATAGTTTTTTATGCAAACAATTTCCTTATTTGTATTTCTTTGGTCAAGATTGACAAGTTTTTTCATAACGAACTGAACACAGACCTTCCATCCAAACTTAACTTAACATTAAATAGAGTGACGAACAAGTGGTGATAACCACCATTCTTTTGATGAACACTTACCCATTTCTCATTTGGTTTTCTTTATTTCTTTGGAAATGTTTTCTTTTTGGTGGCATTATATTTTTTAAAAAGAAAATAAAAAAATTTTGATTGATTGACAACGCATACGTATTATTTATGTGATAGTTTTTTTTTTTTTTTTTTGTAAACAATTTATTTTTGACAGATGATGACAAAACATGAGTGTTGTTGTTTGGGTCTGAAGACATGTTAATAACTAACCAGAGGTACTATTTTTAATTTGCATTGATATAATGTGGTGTCTTTTAGTTATTATAAATATTATTATTGAAATCAAAATGCGGAGTAGATCTTGCTGGGTAATTATAAGATTATCAATTGGTATTTTGCTTTTCGTAATCGTAATCAATAATAATAATATTATTATTATTATTATTATAATTACAAGATGTCAAGGATGCATGACTGGAGCAATTCGAATATGCTGCATTTGATTATCAGAAATTAACAGATGCTGAAGCACGCACACTACCTTGAACACTTTACAGTCATTCTCTCATATGTTCCTCGTGTACAAAGGCTAATCTGACCACATTTCACCCGATGATACATTGATGCAACAGAATTCCAGGGGGATGCAAAGCTCTGGAGCTGCATTAAGACTGCATCAATTGTCAATGACACTTTTCACTAATCTTCCCTCACAGCACCAGACTAGAGAAGGCTGCTGCCATGTTAGCTGAAAAAATTGCCTGTAAAGATCCTACCTCTAAGGATGGCTCTGTGTCCAAGATGTTGCAACTCTGGAGGAACATTAAGAGAATCTGCAGCTTGTTTCAAGCACAGGAGGTTACAATTCAGAGTGGGGTTGGTGATCCTGAAATTGCATTTGGGCTCTTATGTTAGGAGAAAGGCTGTAAAATAAAATGATTCAGATTTGTTTAGCATAATGGACATTTGATTTCATTGGCTAATATTTGTGACGATTTCCTTCCATATATCATGCAAAAATTAAATTTTATTGGCTTGATGATCATTACGCAATTTGAAAACAAAATAAATTTATATAGGAGGGGAATTTGAATGGAATAAGTGAATTTCAAGTTGATACAAGAATATATTTACATACTTGGATATAAAACAATTATCATAAAATAATCACATATATTGTATATTTAAAACAATAGATTTACAAAATGTTAATAACAATGATCTATTATTTATTATTATTATTATTATGTTAATAACATTAATTAATCAAATGTATAAACAACCTACCTTCAAAACAATTCTTTTGAATAAAAGAAAATAACAATTAACACTAAAATAATTAAATAAATACCCAAAACTATTTGTCAGTAAGATTGCTCATTCGAATCTAATCCACATAAAATAATTTTGTTTGTCATCAATCACCATTAAAAAAAAAATTTTTTTAGAAAATTACATATATATATAAATGTGTATTGATGACCATTGTAATAATTAAATATTATCAAACCTCCTGCTAGTACATTGTTCTTCCAAAGATATATACATGCGTGTGTTTAAATAATTTTTACTAATAAATAAAATATTATCCAAGAATTTAGTATATAAAGTTTATATAACAAAATTTGATCACAATAAAAAGAAATAAATAATAATATTTGCAAGCAAGAGTTTATCTTCCATTATCACGGATAGCCCTCCCTCTCTCATCTATAATCCACTATTGTTACTGTTGTTATTGTTGTTAACTATTTAAAAGATTTAATGAATGATTGAATTAAATGCTTACTGCTGGTTAATTCTAAACCACCATCTAATAATAACTATGATTGTTGCAATCAAAGAGG